ATAGATAGATAGATAGATAGATAGATAGATAGATAGATAGATAGATAGATAGATAGATAGATAGATAGATAGATTTTCCTAATGTGTCTTATAAAGGCAGATTTGATTAAAAGTATAGGAATTGTTGGTTCTAGTTTGAAGCCTTTTCCTCTTTTTGTTCCTTCATTATCTGAGGGCTCCTGCTGTGCTTCTTTGACTGGGTGGAGCAGCTTTGGTGTTTATGTGTTGTGGTTTCTGTGTCCCGCTGACAAAGTCACAGCACAGACTGCTCCACATTGCTCACAAACCTAAAACACACACATAATAACATAAAGTACAAATATAGAGTCTGACTCAGCCCCTACCCCCCCAGCCCACACACACACATAGACATCAAAACACCAGTTTGACACAAAGGAAAGAAGAAGGGATGAGAGTGACCCCCAGTGGCACTTTGAGCTCATTACCAGGAGGATTGATGGCGTACTTCATTAAGATTTAGCTGATGAAAGTGCTTTAATCAAACTGCTGTGGGAACCTTTGGCTTTCTACCGTACATTTGGATTTGTAGTTAAACTCAACTCTCCCATATGTCATATATTTTTAATAAAAGCAGATAGTGATTTGGTTATAGTTTTTGCTTGTTTGTGACCTGCTCCCGTTGCAACCGTCTGCATGTTAACATGGATGCTGTGGAAAATTATTTATTATTTTCTTTACTCAGGCTGAATTTGCATCCTCCACAATGAGGCCATTACATCGTTTATGAGCTAACGTCTGGACTTCCTTTTTTTATTTTGGATTTTATTTGCATTAGCTTTGAGCAAACTGAAGAACCCGACTGAAGTTATTAATGTTGTTTGGTTGTATTATATATTTGTAAAAAAATAAAATAAAATAGGAGGTATATAAACTTCTGCTTTGCTAACATGCATATCTTTTCTTTCTTTTTTTTTTATCACACTTAGTTTTAGTGTTAGCCTAAAACATTTAGAAGAATTACTTATATATTACTTAATATAATAATCAACTGTTTTCTTGTTTTTGGGTTGAATTTAAAAATGTCCAGTTTGATCCATGCCTAATGTAATATAACAGGTATTTTTGTTTTTTGTTGATTTAATAATTCAGTGGGGCCCCTATATGATAATTCATTTTCCCTTTAATAGCAAACATCTGTAAATCACCATACATTATCCTCTCTGGTCCTGAACACAAGGACACCTCAGGGCTATGTGCTTAGTCCACTCCTATTTACTCTATTCACTCATGACGGCTTTACTATCCACACCACAAACCTGCTTGTGAAGATATAGATGAAACAAGTTAAGAAAAAACCCAGGACCATCGCTGCTAAGCCCTCCCACAATGTTCTCAACCCGTTCGTACCACTGCCTCCAGAAAAATGTTACAGAACCATAAAAACACAGACCAGCAGACTCAAAGACAGTTTTTTATTCTAAAGCCATCACTCCTGTTTAGAATTTCACTTGCAGTTTTTTTCTTTAACTTATAGTGGAAATTCCAAATTCTGACCAAATCCCGTTAATTCGATTCAATTCAGTTTGTTTCTATAGCGCCAATTCACAACACATGTCATCTCAAGGCAGTTTACAGTTCACCAGATCATACAGTCAAATTGATTCAAAGTTTTATATCTAAGGAAAACCAGTTGATTGCATCGACTCGTTGACTCGAAGGCAATCCCTCACACTAAGCATGCTTGTAGTGACAGTGGAGAGGAAAAACTCCCTTTTAACAGGAAGTTAAAAGGAAGCTATGATGCCAAGGTTCATGTTATTGTGCTCCTGTGCAGTCTACTGTATTCTTTTTTAATCTAGTTTTTGATATCACTATTTTCTTTGTCCCTACAGCCAGTGAGAGGTCAACACTAAATAACTTAGAGTAAAAAAAACAGTAAAGACATTTCATTCCTTTTCAACTGGATTTTTTTAAGGAACAGCAATTCATGCTTATTTATCTCATTTTACTTTATTCAACATTTTTCCTTTTTCCAAAAGCAGCTTTGATTAATGATATACGAAAACAGAGAAAAAATAAATGTGATTTTTGACATTTTGTTTTTTATACTTTTTTTGTTCTTTTCACACATTCATTAAGAACAAAAGATTAACTGTTGTTTTATTCATAATTCAAAGACAATTCCAATACATATTGACTGAATAGGTTGTAGCTTCTGTGACAGACTGGTGACCTGTCCAGGGTGTACCCCGCCTTACGCCCATAGATAGCTAGATAGGCACGGGCCCCACCGTGATCCTGACGGAGTAAGCAGGAGAAGATGGATGGATGGATGGTTGTAGCTTTTATCATTAACCATTTTAACCCACAGAGAAACCTATATGTTAGTCCTTGGTGACCCATCGCAGTTCATTCTTTTTGTTTTGTAGCTCTGATAGGTTAACAGTCGGACCAGGTAACTTCACTGCCCCCGGCAAAGCTTTCCTCTCCTCTGGTGTTACTGGGCTCAGCGGTGGTTCTTGTGGTTGACCCTGAAGAGAAAAAAAAAAAAAAACGATTTTATCAAAAACTATTGGAAAAATAAATTAGATCATGAATATAACACAATTTCAAATGCAACCTCTCCTACTCAGAAAACATCTTGGTTGCTTAAGTATGTGTTTTCTTCATATATTTGTATCTAAAGTGCCTTTTTAAATGATTTCAGCATTCAGTCTTTTGGTCAGAGGGCTGGAAAATCATTCCTTTAAAAAGGATGGATGGATGGATGGATGGATGGATGGATGGATGGATGGATGGATGGATGGATGGATGGATGGATGGATGGATGGATGGATGGAGATGGATAAATAAAATATTACATAATGAGGAAAATGTAATGGAAATCCAAAACATTTCCCCCTACTTTTTTTTCTTCAGATAAAGCTTTTCCAGCTTGGAAACCTATAACAAAGATAAACTTTAAGGGAGGATATGCTCTCCTCGGAAAGAGGCAGATACTTGAAACTCCCCACAGATCCTAACGAATTTGCTTTCACCTCCTGCCCTATTTGTTTTACACAGTTCATGACTCGTTTCTTCAGTTTAGGATTAAACTCAGCTTCATTTGAGTAGGGAAATGCGAGGCGTTAGCCATCACAGTGCAAACAGGATCAGTAAGCCCATATTTGGAGGTGTTCAGACCCATTTTACTATTTTAATTTCAAGCTTTAAATAGAGAGCTCTGAAGAGTTTCGATGCTGATCACTTGCCAAACGTCTCACCTCTTCTGTGTCCACTGTCTCCTCTCTCCTCTTGACAGGAAGTCCCGCCCCTGGACGCAGAGCTCCCATCGGGATGTTCAGATTAGCCTGGTGGGAAGTGAGAACACTCAGATAAAAGATCTCAATGTTTGCTTTTTCCTCGAAGCCCCTTGTTTTTACTATTGAAAACCTCTTCCTGGTTTTTAGCCGTCTCTAAAAACCAACCTGTATGTTTATGAAAATTAGGACAGCCACAGCGAGAGACAGCAAGCTGCCTGCTAACTCCATGTTCAGCCTGTTGGTTGGCTTCAATGTTTTAAACCGTATTTGTACATAAACTCACACTGTACAGCTGTACAAAGTCGGAGTAGTGTTTGTTACTGATAACAGTAGATGTTCTATAAGAGTTACATATTTTAAAGGTGTCAAGACTGGAAAGGAAAGGAAGAAAAATTGCCTTCTGCTGCATGTTTTCTGATGTTTGTCTTATTGTAATGTTGCTTTGGCTGAAACTGTTTGCTGTCTTTATGCGTAAAGTGCTTTCAGCTGAACATCACGGAACTAATTTGTTCAGAACTACCAAAGATTAAAGGAATATTCCACCAAAAGCAAAGCCATTATTGTTGAGAGGTGTCATCCTCCATATTTTTAATTGGATTATTAAAGATTATGGTGTTTGGAACTATTAGATTTCAACAAAAAATAATTACTCATTGATCTCATTACATGTAACGGACAATGAACCCCGAGCTTTAGAATGAAGATTTATGGTGTCAATATTTATGTTTTCTATGACCAGTAAAAATGATTCCCACCTCTTTTTCATAATTTATGTTTTACCCATAAACTTTTATTTATGATGGAAACAAAGTAGTGTGTTGTTGTGTAGTTAAACAGTAAGGAAAGTATTTTACAATTTTGTTACAAAAAAACCCCACCTGTGTTCTGACATCCAATTAAACAAATATAACCTTAATGGAAAATTGGTTTTAAAAAGTGAAATTTGCAACTTCAGTGGTACTGGTAGGGACAAGGATACTGGAAAACTTTAAGGAACCAGTAAACCTAATAGTTATGTTTTTTTTTAGTATAGAAGGAAGCTAGATTATTAAGGGAAAACCCATAAATTCACACAGAATATGCAAACCCCAGAAAAACTTCGTGCCAGGATTCAAACCCAGGACTGTATTGCTGCAAGGCAACACTGTTACCAAGCATACACCACAGTCCAGTTGGGAACACTAATGATAAAAAAAAATAAGAAGCTACTCAGTGGTTGTTGCATGTCTTAGAAAGGCCTTATTTTAGACTGTTTCTGAAAATAAAAGGTCAAAGAAGGATAGCAATTACATGTGAACAAACCCAAATGTCATTAGAAATGTGTGGTTTCTTTTCATCTCCCTTTTACCTCTGACCATTTCTGCTGCCCCAGATGTCAACAGTGTCATGCTGCCTCCTCCATATCATGTTAGTGTGTTCCAGGTTATTATATGCAGTGCTAGTTCACGACCTTATATAAAGTTCTACACCAAAAATTTTTTATCTGGCCAAAACACCTGTCACCTATATGGCTCAAGGCAAACTGCAAATAGGACCTCTAATGGCCTTACTTCATATTTGTTAAATGCAAAAGTATTGTTTTAAAGGCAGTTGAGAAATTCTACCACATGAGCTCTAGATATCTGCAGCTCCTCCCAAGTTGGCATGGGCATTTTTTTTCAGGTGAAATTAAAAATGTTAAGAACAAACATCCTTGGTTAGTTTGTTACTAATGCTGCCACTAGTTAAAATGTCATAAGGCATTTAACTCATATTTTAAAAATGGTTTAGATGTTAAGAGAAACATTTATTAAGAATGTATTACAATTGATTTTACAAATGTTCTTGGGACAAAATGATTAAAAACCAACAGCATTATTCAGCAGCAATATATTCACAACTAAAACCGCAAATATAGTTTCCTTTGGTTACCTTGTCAAACATGGAATATCCATGGAATGTCCATGTTTATCCTAAAAAAATTGTATAAGATTTTTTTTTACTTTCTCCTGAGCCCATCTTGATGATAACCTGTTATGCAGGATTATTATCATATGTATTAATTACTTCTAAAATCAACAACAATCTGAAATCATAACAACTTCCACCACTGAGCTTATAGTTAGCACAAAAATGACTATTATGAACACAAATAATTGTTATGGACCCCAAAATAATCCTAAAAAGTTTTTTCTGACTTGAATTTTACCAAACTGTAGTATAGAACAAATGTGTGTTTTACCTGCACATTTATGACACTTAATTTATACAGAGATTTAATGTTTTCTGGGATTTTTTTTACAGAGTAAATTTTGCTTAACATGCAACAAGATACCTGAGCACCTATGATTTTTAACTGATTTATTTTTGGTCTCCACCTCTGCTTAGCTCCTCACTTCCACACTTATTTTTAAACATTGTATTATCATTAAAGTCAGGCAGTACTAAACTTTACTTGAAAAGTAACAATAATAGTAGCTATGTACATTACAACACTTACAAGAGACCATAAATTGTCTTAAAACAACCAAGTTAATGCTAATATTAACATTAGCTTTTCATGTCTGCTATTTACAGTAAGGTAAAACAGGATTTATATTTTGTAAAACAGAGAGGTTATAATTTATCCTGACCATCTTCATACAACCATTCTGCCTCTGAAATACTGTTTTTTTTGTTGTTGTTGTTGTTTGTTTTTTGTTTTTTACAGCACCTCAGATTATTAGAGACTTAATAAAATACCCAGGCTCTTTTTCTGCTAAATATGTTAGAATTATACAATCTAAATAAACACTTAAGTTAGGTAGATCCAAAAAAAAAGAGAGCTTAAAGGGGTTTTCCACATTTTAACAGCGCTTAAGTGTTTTAATGAACATAAATACATTATTAGTATAAATCGTACCAGCTACGTTTAGTTAAAGTGTAAAACATTTTGCTCTTATTAATGCAGAATAAAACTATCCGATAAAATTACTTTATGGTATTCTCTAAAAAAAATTTCAAAAAAGAATCGGCTCTTTGTTCTAAGTAATGTTAATATGCAAAGCCACTGACATGGCAACATGTTTACAATAGTTTTGAGTTTTTTATCATTCATTTTATATGCCTGAGACATTTTTTATGTGAAATACAGCTGTCCTAAAACTGACCTATGAAGCTACTGTTTGTACTGCGCTTTTATGTAAAACCTTATGTGCTGATGCCTATCCCATGGTTAGAGATGAAAATGAGCACAAAAGAAGCCTGTTGGTGAATAAAACTCTTGTGATATTTAAAGCCACTACATGCATATGTTTGCCTCGCTATCAAGTTTGCACAAAAAATGCCTTGATATTGTAAAAGCACTGTTTGAACCTTGTATCTGCCTTCACCAATAAATACTTTAATGTGGAAAAAGACTAATTTCATATTTATTCACCAAGATTGAGTTTTTTTTTATCTGTAGTGACCCATGTGATCATGCACAGAGGTGAGATTCATTTACCTGCAAGGCTTTCACGTTGGTCGAAGGTTTGGACATAATCCCCCCCTAGGTGAGTCCACTGACCTGCAGGAGGCAAATTGCACACATTCAGTGGTTTGGTTTTTAGCATACGGGTACTGGGTTCACTGGGACAGCAGCTTTTGAGGAACAGGATACCTTTACAGTTGCTTAGCTACCCTTACAAAGTAAACCAGGTAGAGGAACTGTTCTCTGAATCTTTCATGAGAAGCCGACAGAGACGCTGTCAAAACAAAGGTGAGACGGCTTCACCTTTGGATGCACCTTTTTGATTGAGCTCCAATAAGCGATGCATGATGTGGAATATTAGTCACACTATAATTAAAGGGGAAATCAGGGTTGGTAAACAAATATATACCCTGATAGAATTGCTCTTTTTAGATTTCCAAAATTTTCTAAACAAATTAGAGGACATGTAAGCTTAATTTCCTGAACTATTTTTGCCCCTAAAAGACAGCTGAAACAGATATTTACATACATGCTATAAAAATACACACAAGCTTTTTTTTCTCTCCCAAACAAACAATAAATCAGACAGTTTTTCCTATTGGCTTACTACAGTTAAAAACATTTGAAAGATGCAGCAAATTTTTTTATTTTTTATTTTTTGTGAATTCTCTTCATATTTCTACTCAATGTTTGTTAGAATTGCAGCAAGTTGCAGGAGTTTTGGCCCATTCCTCCTAACAGAAGAGAAGTAAGTCAGGCTTGTAGATAACTATATCCTTGCACATTTTCTTGGTTCTGCCTAGAAATGTTCTATCAGACTGAGGTCAAGGTGATGGAAGCTCTTAATTATTGACTTTTCTCTCTTTAAGCTCCTTTATTCCAAATGTGACAAACTTAGTGGCATTATTTATTTGGAAGTCTCTTATTTCTTGCCATTAACTTCCTGGCAGAGATGTTGCTTGATGATGCATTTAACCCCCTTTCTTTATGATTTCATGTATTTTGTTCAGTCAAATACTCCTTCCTTGATTTTATGAGGTCCAATGTCTTTTTTCTTTTGTGGTTTTATTTGACTTTTTAGGTGACATCATTCAAAGGGGTGGTGGCTCAAGCTATTGCCTCAAACTACACCCGCATTTCTAATTCCATTTAACTCAAATGTTATAAATCAATTAGTGGATTACAGAGACATGTTATCCTAACCTGAGCTTTGGAAAACAGTTTAAAGCCATAATAGTTCTTAATTATATAAATGACTAAATACAAAGATAGTTAAAACGAAGATTCTGAAAACTATCACAGTTTACAGGCATTTTATAAATCGAAATAATTTTGGTATTTCTTACCAACCAAAAACAATAATTGCTTTGTATTTTTATGTCTGTACCGTGAGAAATAATTAAGTGTGTGTTTTTATATAATAACTTATGGGTGTACATATTTTGTTTGTTCTATGACTTTTATTAATAAGATTATAGATAAGGATTAAACTATTGCTCTCACACAATTTGTGTCCTTAATAAATATTTATGGTATTTAACCTCTGATGATATCGAATTTTCCTTTAACAGAAAAGAGTGTGATCTATCAATATATATTTTTTTGCCCACTCAATCCTCAGCGATTGCAAAGCCATTTTCCAGGCCGGGAGAGTACACCCTGGAAAAGCAACAGGACCGACACTAAGGGAAACAGCTTTTCTCATGGAGACACCCACATCAAAGAGCAATTTAAACTCTGCCATTGATCTAAATGTTTTTGTTCTACAGAAGGAAAAGGGTGATAGAGTATGAGGAATGTCCCAGCCCACACAGAAAGGCCACCCCACCTTTAAAATAACTGACTGTATCTCAGCTTGTTCCCATACTGACCAATGTGCCAAAGAAAAGCTAGCTGCTGCAGGAAGTTAGAAAAGAAACTCTAATTTCATCTCTTCAAAATACATGGGCTTATTAATGATTAGTATTTACACATGCCAAGCATTTATTATTGTTGCAATTTACTTGATAGATTTATTTTTAACTGGATGTTGCTAAGGACTTAATACCGGTTTCTCATAATATTTGGAAAATGTAAAGCAAGGCAGTTATTTTCTTCTCAATGCCCACTTTACACTTTCCAAGTAAGACAGCGGGGTAGGATGGAGGAGTTTATCCCTCAACCGGAGGGTCACCAATTTAATTGTCCAATTTGTCTTGGACAATAGGCTTCCACCGTATTGGCTGTACCTCTGGTGGTCAGAGGGCCCAGAGGTGTCTGTTCACAGAGGCTTTGCTTCCATCAGCGGGCCCCAACTCAGCTGTGGCTACAATGTAGCTCAATGGGTGAATGACTGAATGTAACGTAAAGCACTTTGTAGTTCTTGGACTTGAAAGGTCCTATGCCTTTACAGGCCATCTACCCTAGAACTGGATTGGACTCCCTGTTTCCCTCCAGGAATGGCTTAGACTTACAAAGTATTAGAAACGTTCTTAATGTATTTGTCCACATTAACATAACATTGCAACAAAACATGTTCATTAGATTCACATCTATGGTGAGTGTTGGACTCAATTACTAATGTCAAGAAAGCTGTTTTGAAATAAAGTGAGGTTTGAAACATGGTTTAGTATTCTACTGAAAGTAGCCATAAAAAGAAGGGTTCATTACTGTCATTAAGGGATGACATCACCAGCGACATCGGCATTTAAAGGATGCTGGTACTAAGGAGCTCAAAATACATCCAAAATAACCACACTGTCACACCACCTCTGCCTCTATGGCCTTTGTACATGATAATGATCCATTAAAAGAATGCCAACTATTAAAACAAATTTGTTGTAATTGCACAAGACTAGCAGAAAATCCTAAAACTGTGTTATTTACCAGCTTTGCAACTAAAAGTACGTTCTTTGCAACTAAACACTATGCATATGCTTCCACTATGTCAGCGTGCATGTGTCAGATGTTCTCAAACAGGCAGATTCTCATTTTTCATTAGCTGCAGTCATGACCATGGAGACTAGGGTTCATCAGAGATGATGCTCTACTTCCCTTAATAGTAGTGAGTGGTTGTTTCAATTACTGTCTATCTGCCTGATGCCCTCTTACATCACAAAGGCATTTTCATTCATAGATGTACTGCAAATTATTTCTTTTTTGTCATTCTCTGCAAAGCTAAGAGATTGTTGTGAAAAGAGAAAAATCCCAGTAGATCAGTGGTGTCTTAGACACTCCAACCTGTTTTGACTGCATGCCATGCTCAAAGTCACTGAATTCTCCTATTTTCCCCATGGGGATGCTTTTCTTTAATTTTCAGGAATTCCTCTTCATCTAGAAATTTAAATGTGTTGAGCTTCTATTGTGAGATTCACTGTTGACTGTTAATACAAAACTCAACTGATGTACCTATTAAAGTAGTAGGTGTCAAGAATGAACTGATTACAGCATTATCTGCCAATTAACCAACAGATCATTTTGGTGAAGTAGCTGACCTTACTTGTCCAGTTTAACTTGTATAGTACATCATGTTACTACATTACATGTTAATGTGTTATGAAGTCTATTTATGCAAATTTAAGCCAATAGTCAGTGATTATGTTTGGTTACATGGCATTAGGTCCAAAGGTGAAATACAATGGTACTTTTAATCTTGTCAAGCTTTTCCTACTTCTGAATGAGGCCTACAGTATGTGACAACTGAAGTGCCCTCTATGTGATGTCAAACTCTGTTATTGGTGTAGCATATTTAAATTGAACAAGTTTATGAAATAATCACATGGTAGAGTCATGGAGTAATGGATCAGTCCTAGTGGGTGCTTAATTTGGGATGATCATTTCAATAAACAGGAATATAGTTAAGCTTTCCTCTGAAGAAATGTAACTAAAGTAACCTTATAAAGTAAAATGCTGGTGAAGATTCTCAGTCATCCAGGTCATAGTCATTCCAAAAAAAGAAAATTAAAAGCAATTCACTGGACTTTCTTTCCAAGTTTGAAGACGTTTCGCTTCCCATCCAGGAAGCTTTTTCAATTCAAAATGTCAGGAATAGCGTTGAGTTTGAGGTTTTATACAGTAGCCCATCAGAACCTTGTTTTTGTTTTGAAAACTTGCAAATAAAAACGGACGAAGGGGTCCACCCCTTTGGAATGGGGGTCGTTTGGCTTCTTTCGTTAGCCTGAAATGCCACATACCCATCTTAACGACCCCCTTTCAGACACTTAGACCTGTTAATTATATTTTTTTGGTACAAAGTCAAATGAACTGCTGCAGCTTCTTTAGTTTACAGCACTGTACTGTCACAATTCTGTGTAAATCACATTTTAGTTTCCTCTATATTTATTTTTAAATAAAGTGCTGGCTAAATGATCTGTTTTGCTTTGGCTTGTGGCTTAAATGACTCTAGAGAAGGATTGACAACAAATCCAATAAGATGCAGAAAACTATCTTTTCCACTCTTACACTGCTCTTCCGCTCTTACACTGTTACAAATAAATTGTTCTTGTTAATGTGACCTCATCAGAAAAACTTCACACTAGCTTTGGCAACCTTTTCTAAAAGGACTATGAAAAGATTTAATCTGTGCCGTCTGTAAAAAATTTTTATTCACTATAGAAATAACTTTCAAACTAACCTCTAAAAATGTAATCCCCCCACTTGTCAAAGGACGAAATAAACTTATACAGTTTCCCAACTTTTTTAAACACTAAGTATAAGTTTACTGTCCACAGCCAGGCAGATCAATAAATCACTAAAACAGAACCTGTTTGACAACATGAAGTAGAAAAATAATTTTTAAAAATCTACTGTATCTAAAGAAATTTAACGGGAATCAAGGTTTTAGTAATTGATCTGTTTAGAAAGAGACTTTATTTAACAGTGAATAAGCATTAAATAAATGGTGAACCTGGACAGGCTGTTCTTTTAAGTCTACTTAAAAAGCACAGTGACGCCACTTCTCATCCAGGAGGTTGACTGTAGGTCTGACTATAGGTCAATTTCTAAAATTACTGTTCCTCATTCAGCAATCAGAGAGACAGAATAGTTTTCAAATGAAAAACCATTTTTGACACCAAGTAGCAAAAAAAAAAGTATAACTTTATGAAAACTATTCTTTC